AAGATTCACTTGTATACAGTGCAGTAGGTAACTAATGCCAAGCTTCAGTGAAGTGTGGTTTTAATTGGTTAAAACTGTTATCCGTTTATATTATGAGCATTGTTGTCTGATATTGGTTTAAACTGGTTATCTGTTTATATTATGAACCTTGTTGTCTGATATTGGTTTAAACTGGTTATCTGTTTATATTATGAACCTTGTTGTCTGATATTGGTTTAAACTGGTTATCTGTTTATATTATGAACCTTGTTGTCTGATATTGGTTTAAACTGGTTATCTGTTTATATTATGAACCTTGTTGTCTGATATTGGTTTACGCTGCTTTTCTGTTTATATTATGAGCATTGTTGTCTAATATGAATTACTGATATATGATAGAACTTAATATGAAACAAGTTTTTGTACCAATATATATGGTTTTTGACAAACCAAACTCTTGTACAGGTCAGAGCCAAAACAAGTTATGGTTGGGGAGAATACAGTAAGGCTATCTACATGATCACTGATGAACTTGTGGACAGTACAGGTAGAATTCTTAGAGTTCTACATCTTTTAATATATTTAATTCAAATGCAGTTTTCAGTTAACTATTTTTCTTTGGTATTTGCAGAAAATCATACTGATTATTGAAAAAAAGCACTATCATATATGATAATAAAAAAGTCCAAAGATTATTTGACTACACTGAAAAATATAAACAATAACATTAAGAAAGAGATAATTCGTTGTTCTTTATTACTTGTATTGCAGTGTGTTTAGTAGAATAGAAGATCAAACATTTGTTATACGTCGTGTTTGTGTAATATTGTAGTTTAAGCAAAAATATTAAACGTTGTTAAATTTTGTTGAACGCTTTTGTAGTTTTATAAAGTAAAAAGAAACATTTATGAATTGTGTTTGGTATAAGTAAAACATGACAGCTAAGTATTGTGTGATATATTATAATACATAAAATATCTTAACTGTTGCCTTACCTAGCTTATGTTGAAGATGAAGATCAAATTCAAATTCGCATCGTAGCTGGAGTAACAGTTGCAGTGGTTGTCTTAATGGTTGTTATTGTAGTGATGATCGTCTTATATGTCAGAAGGTAATACTGTAATTTATGCTAAATAGTATCTGTAATTGTGATTGTCTTTTATGTGTCATAAAGTGCTTCTATAATTTCTACTAACACTATTTAGTAGTGTTACGTCTCTGGTCGTTTGTTAATATTCCGTAGAAATTATTTCCGAGAAACTTCAGCGATACAAGTCCTTTCTTAAATAAAACTAGTTTTTCTTTCTCGATTCAACTTTGCAATACACTTACTTTCCACAGTCACTTTAAGTTAAAAACACGCTATAATTCACCACGATTCACGTACTTTACTACCGCGCTTGACTCAATTGTCCGTCTCTGTCTCTGCCTGTCTGCAATTCTAATTCCGATTAATAATTTTGCTTTATCTGGCGCACTTATATACAAGAATAGAGGGCGCCTAGCAAATATTGGATTATTCGTGATGTTCCCCGATCTTTCTAGAGCTCATTACGTGTTACTGGCGTCGCGTGACTTCCGCTGTCGTAACAGTAGTCTTGGTAATCTTGTATGTGTCAGAAAATAATTCTGTAATTTGTACTAACTAGTGTCAGTTGTCAATGTCATCTTTTGTGCATGTCAGAAAAGAATTGTGTAACTACTATTGTTTTAATGAAATTATTTCTCAACTTTAATCTTCACGAACAAAGACTCAAATCTGCTTTATCACCATAAATAATATACACCTAAACTTTTATAATACTGCGGTCAAAGTAACCCTTTGATAACAAGTTCCCTATAACCTCTAATAGCACATTCGCCGTAATGCTTGCTATCTTTGCAATTGCGGCCAGTAAATAAATATTGTCAAAATGTAGCGATAACTAGTTTTTGTATTTCCAAACGTTTCTCAATGTGAATGTAAATAAATCTTAGAAATTAGAAGACTTAGCTTCTTGATCATTTTATTTCGAAAATCGTGTTTAAAGATATATAAAATTAAAGAAGCCAACATTCGCGGGAGAATGCAATATGTATCCGCCTTGCAATCCCAATATAGCCAGTTCTGGTACCAGAAAAATCGAAAACTTTCCATATCACTGCTTGGGGCCTGCAAGAAGATACCCACGTACCAAGTCCCGTGTTAATTGATAACAATATGATCGAGTAATTGACCAAAACCCCAAAATTATGTTTTTTATGTAACTTCTGACCCCTCTAAAATAATTCAAAATGGGCAAATCCAATTTTTGTATGTCAATAAAGAAATTAAACTTTTAGAGAAAAATCCCCTTTAAAAACTACGATAATAATTTATTTACTTGTATTTACTTTATTATTATTTTTTTTTTTTTTTTTGTATGTTAGTGTATTGGGCACATGAAAATTTATATTTGTGCCAATTTTCACCTTGATCACTGTAAGTATGACCAAACAGGAGCCTAAAATATAAATACTTTGGTTGTTTGACCTTTGACCCCATCAACTTCTTTAAAAGGCCTAAATAAATAATAATAAAAAAAAAACAGGAAAAGTTGTGGGCATATTGGATCAAAGTATTCAGAGGCCTCGCCAGGTGCTTAAAAGATTCTGGGCTCGGGCTCATGGGCGCGAGAAATTTCGGCGTATTAGTATGATATCGATCATGGTTTTCTATTCTGATTTTTCAAGACACAAAAGAGTTTGGAAAAAGAAAGAAAGAGTGAAAAAGAATAAACAATTGAAAAACATAATGTCTCTATGTGGAAACATAACAAATGAACACAGGAGACAATTCTCACTAATGCTTTAGAAAAAGAGAGAATTAATAAGATGTGTGCCATCCAAACGCAACATTTCTAAATTCTAGTAAGCATGCATTATCATTCGCATCGCATGTCGAAAAAGATAGTCTCGACTGGCTGTAAAAAAGAAATAAATAAAATAAAAAATTACCATATATTATACGAATCCTAACTTCTAGATAAATTTTAGTGAAAAAATATGCGTGTTATAGTCGAAAGATAGCTAATGAAAGTTTGAATTGAGAATTTTTATCGTATCTGCAAAAACAAAAGTACAAACAGAATATTCTCTTCAATTTTTTTCTGGTAGTTATTGTTTGTAGAGATGCATTTTATCAAGCTTCTCTAGGGTAAGAGAGTTTATAAACTAACCTAATAACGGTCAGATGATTCTTTGGTAATTTTTATTCAGAAATTCTGATGACTGCAATAAGAAACAACCAAGTGATTGTGACACTCTTGACTACCACAATGGGGAAGGTAAGAAATGTAAGGGTAAAGTTTTTATTTTTTTCTGTCCTATAAGTGCTCTCATATTTCCTTAATAAACAAGATTATTACTTGAAGATAAATGAGACCCACCTTTTTCTAGGACAAGTTAATTGTTATATAATATTCTATCCTGATAGCCTACTTTTTTTTCAGTTATGTATGTGATAATAATGTTAGCTTATGTAATTTGCTTTTTATTAAATGGTTGTGATTATGAAGTAGTATTTTTTTCTTTTGATCAAGGTAGGTATCATGCTAAATAATGATTTCTGATAAAGAGTTAACTTTCCTTTATATGCTAATTGCATGAAAAGTAATAATTATTGCATGAATGATTATCTGTTTCACATGCATCTTGTGTTGTTCACAATGCATACAAGCATAATTTTCTTAAATGAAATTTGACCAGTTTCTGTGGAATTTTATTGAAGCATTTCATATCAGTTTTGTTAATCTTTCATAACTCTAGAAAAAAATTATTGCAAGTAAGACTATTTCAATAATGAAAAGCATTAAGGTTACAGTCAAAGCCACAGAACTGTCAAGTGTAACATTTATTAACAAAGTTAAAGAGCTTCAAATAATACAACTGTATACCATCACATGAATTTGCTTGTGAAAAGTACATTTTAGCTGTTTTCTTTTTTGCCATGCATATAATACTGCTTTACCTCCTTTGACAGTAATTCCTGGCTTAGAACATCTCCCAATCGTTCCTACTGCTGGGAGTAAGTATCTGCATGTTTTAATGGTGTCTGTCTCTAATGAAGGTAGAGAGCAAAAATTATTCCAAGACCATACTTTCTGCATTACCCTTTTAACATAGATAAATAGCTTAGGCTTATAGTGGGATGATTCTCATAACTATGTCTTATAATAAGGATAAATTTCTCAACCTATATCTGGAGAACTGTTAAATTAGTATTTGCCAAACAAAGATAAAAATTTAACCTTTGCTGGGAAAGCTTTCATCTAAATGTCTTTCTAACAAAAACAGATGGATCATGTTTTTACTAACAAGGCTTAACATATGTCTAGATCATTCTTATTACAGTGTTTTTATTCATAGATAGGGGGCTTAGTTTATGTCTCAATAATCCTCATCATAGTTTCTTTCTAATAATGATGGGTAGTTTAGTTTACATATAGAGAATACATGATACACTGTTTATTTTGTGTAACTAAGCTTTAGGTAGATGATGTTCAGTTAGGTATGGTTAACATTAATGAACTGCTTTCCTTCAATCTTAGTAACCACTCTCCTGTTCACTCACTGTGGTGGTCAACGGAGTTATGTTGACCCCCACACCTATGAAGATCCTAATCAAGCAGTCAAAGAGTTTGCAAAGGAGCTTGATGTTTCCTATATTACAATTGAAGCCATCATTGGAGGAGGTAACAGTATATTACTAGTTTGCAGTAAAAACAATCTAGACTTCAAAGCTCTAGGACATTCTATGAATTAATGTCTTCACATTTTAATGTTCTTACATTTTAAGTTCTATTATTATATTTTTTAAACAACTGTTACGTCTCCGTTTGTTAATTGATCTTTCCGTAACTTCGTTCCAACGAAACTTTAACGACACAAGTCTTTACTTCATAAAACTGGTTTATTCTTTCCGAATATAACTCTGCGATACACTTAATCTCAATACTAAACAACACTGTAACGAATGAACGTT